GCTGTAACTTTTTTCCTGTACGAGATATCTTGTTTCAATGAAAACATTTCCGAAGCACTTTTTTACGTAGAATTCAATGCTATAAAAACTTATTTTTTCAAATGATCATCAATAATTATCAATAATTATTGATGGAAACTATTTTTTATAAGACACCCTGTGCATTCCCATGTAGACTTCGAAACGCACACTTTGAACAAGTAGGCTTTGGACGAGGCGGCGATAAAACAGAAAGTAATTGTTCAGAAGTAGCTACCAAATCTTGAATATGCATAGGCGCCACCTTTTCTGAACATTTTTTGCCGAATTAATTAGTTCAATAAAAGTGAGAGAAGCAAAATTTTGCATCACTTCCGCTTCCAATGCGTATCTAGAATTGGCCGGTAAAAAAGAAGTGATTCACGTATAATGAAATATTAATTTTTGGAAGTAGTTGTTTTGTAGTTATCTTTATCTCCTGAAGACACCAACTTGATTAGTGATAGGCGCGTTGAGAAGAGTGTTGCATTTCTGATCATTAGAAAAAATGCTTGTTCTTAGAAGAAGAGAAATGTTGCATCATTTTGAAAACGTATTTAACTCATGGCTGATTAAAATTTCGATGACACTCATTGAAAACGAATTCTGTGTCACGTTCATCGACAGTAAACAAGAAAAATAACGATAAGAACTAACACCATTCATTAAATTCATATAAATTCGGTTTTAACTAGGCTATCTTCTTCATTTTCGTCCATAAATTTGATTTCTAATATTCAAATTTCCATACATTGCTTTAGGAAATGTGACGGGAAAATAACATCATGCCTCACGGATCTGAATATTCAAGTGAAGACATTCGGGTGATTAAAAATGATGACCTAATTATACTACACACATACAAGATGATTGATGAATTCAGAATGGATCTGGTACATGTTTATCCACGTGTATGTTTGTCCACGCATTTCCCCGAAAATTATAGTTGCATTGTGACTATCATTTTTCATTACTTTGCTTTATTTTCATCAAAACCGATTCCGTAGTTTTCAAAATATACGTATTATCAGGAAGGTCTGTCTTATTGATACCAGTTACCCGGAAACTATGATGATACAGCCATATCGTAGTTAAAACTTCATATTTGAATTTAACGTATCATAATCGTGACTTGGATTGCTAACAAAAAAATTATAAACGGTAAAAGCCAAATTATTTCAACAGTACCCAGTCTCCCTTATTTTAAAAGAAGTTGCAATTATTCAAAAATCCTTATTTTGTTAATTCCGTCCTTCATTTATCTCGAAAATCTCAAAAGGAAGTGATAGTTTCTGAACTTTTAATACAAGTGAAAAGGTGAACGTGTGAGAACAGCTATATTATTCTTAGTTAATAACTACTCACTCGATTTTTTTCGTGACACAGAAAAATGAACAGCATAATATCTTCGAAATTTTTTGGTAGTAAGAGACATACACTTCCATGTCAAAGTAAAAAAAATATCACTTAGGAATCAAACGTTAAAAGGTGAGACCTCGTTAATCCTCAGCTCACACAAGTTTTGACTTCTGAGGATTGTCGTTCGTAGAGGTGCGACAGCTGGTTCACGAAAAAACAGATTTGAAACAGATTTAAAACGGATTTTATTGAGATTTTCCAGATGAAAGAAGTGAAATATGGCATTGAAAAAAATTATGAAAAAGATTGGTGAAAATCAAGATATCATTAAGGAGTTTGATTTGTTTTTGCTTAAGGGAAGCAAAAGGGAAATATTCTATTTTTCAGAGTAGTAAATTTATATTCATTGATTTTTTTATGAAAAGAATGGTGATTGATATGTCTTCCTTTTTTTTAAGGGTAAAACACAAGCACTACAGGAAAATCATTAAGGCGCTCTCAGGGCGTTGCCTGTGCGAAAGTAGCGATTAACNTAACTATGGCATCAGAGGTTGATCTTCCATTTTGAAAACCAAATTGGAAATCTGAAATTATATGATGTCTCTCTGTGAAAGTCATTAAACGTTTTTTGAGGATTTTTTCGAATATTTTTGCCAAATTGGATATTATGCTTATTGGACGGTGATTGCTTACTTTGTTTTTTTCGCCCGACTTAAATACAGGTTTAACAATTGTTATTTTGAAGTTCGAGGGGCGTATACCAGTGGCAAAAATAGCGTTTATCAAAATACATGAAGGTTTCGTTAAATGTTCAGATGAAGTTTTGATAACTTTTACAGAAATTCCATCATACCCAGTTTGTCTTTAGTTCTTTAATTAAATTCAATATCTCAACCTCATCACATGGTTATAGGAAGATAGTATCACCTACAGTATTCACATTTTGAGTTATTACCTCATGTGCTTCTTGTCTGATTTTTTTAGCCATTTTTTCACCCACGGTTGAGTAATGATTAACAAATACATTAGCAATATCAAGTTTGTTAGTGATTATTGAATTATCTTCTGTTTTTATTTCTTTCAGTTCGACAGTTAGACTATTTTTATGATTTCCTGAAAATTCCATTGACAGTAGACCATAGTACTTTTTGAGTTATTTATATTCTCTGATACTTTCTTCTTATAGTACTTGTATTTTTCATTTGTTATCGTATTTGTGACTTTATTGCGTTGAGTTTTATATTTTTTAAACAGTTTTCTTCATTGTTAGGAAATTTTGTATGTTCCATAAATAGTGTGTTCCTTGTTTTCATCCATAAAATCATTTCTGAGGTGATCCATGGTCTTTTACTATGTAGGATTGGTGATATTTTTTGTCGTGTGACCCTTTCCATTATATTCTTTATTTTTGTTGTTAAATTTTCAGGCCTATTATCAACATTGGTATTTTGACTGAAATTACTACTCCAGTCCCTTCTTGCCAATAATTCTAGCATTTTATATTCGACATAAAGATAAGTGTTGGGTTTGTTGCGTTTTTTCTTGTGACGCTTTGAAATTAATGATTGTAGGATAATGATCTGTTATTTTTGACTCAATTATCATGGCTTCCACCTCATTATCTTAAACAAAATTATTTTTCATGAATATATGATCAATACATGTCTTGGTTTACCCTTGTATTCGTGTCAGCTCATTTATGTATGATTTGAATCCAAACTGAGAAAGAACATTTAGATAATTTTCAACTATTTGGTTTGTTTCTCGTATGTTGATGTTTATATCACCAACTAGTATTTGAATATCAGATTTATGAGGTGTTTGTAAATAGTTTTCAAGATCCTCTATAAATACGTTTTTATCTACACAATGTAGTCGATACACTGCTGTTATAGTTATATGCTTCCTGTATGGAAATATTTTTGTCTCAACTACTCTCAGAATTCCAATTTCCTCAATATCGTTTTCGATTCTATGTTTCTTGTGTATATATACAATTACCCCATCGTCTCGATTTACTGAATTCCCACTATAAATGCTTTCGTATCCAGGTATATTAAAAAAGTTTTTATTTTTTATTTCCCAGGTTTCTGTTAGTACTATGCAATCAAAATAATTTTTGAATTCATTCAGAAATACCAATAACTCGTCAAAGTGTTTTGTTATACTACTAATGTTGAAGTGAATTAGTGAAAATTTATTATTGTAGGCATTGATGTTCAAATGGCTCTTACATTCTTCTACACTTGATGCTACTAATGTAATTGGATCTTCATCAGTAACTTCATTTATATATTGGTTTATATTTTCAAAAGAGAAAAAGTTTTTCACTATTATAATAATTTCATGTTATTCGTTATAGTCTAAATCAGGGGTCTCCAAACTACAGCCCGCGGGCCAAATCCGGCCCGCGACAGCCAATGATTTACTGTCATCAATCTGGACCGCGACAGCCAATGATTACCTAATTGTTGTTACTATTGCTGTGATAAGTTGAAGAAGAAAAAACAGAATGATAATTACTCGGTTTTATTTACTTGCAAGGTAAAACTTAACGACAGAAATGATGACTTGAGTATCTAAGTTTGAGTATATTAATAACTAACAAATAATTGAAATGATTCACAGTAAAACAACAACACTAATGAGATTTATGTAATTTTGATTTTCCAACGACAATTCTTTGTAGTTGTGGATCAATTTTACTTGTACCAATTATCAAGAGAGATTTAAGATGCTCATCGGTTAATTGAGATCTGTAAACATTCTTTGTGTACTTCATCTTGGAAAACGTTTTCTCACACAAGTA